ATATCCATTTACAAGTCTTCTTAGTAAAACACTTGTCACCCAGGTGCAGCGAAGCTTGCTAAAGCTTCATTATGTGAAACTGTAAAGGTCAAGTAAAACATCGTTTCAGAGCTTTTCTCAGTCACATAATATCTCCCTGAATCTCAGCTGTAGTCGAGACACAAGTGAACATAAATTCTACTGTTGTTCAATTAGACCTTGTTTATAATGCAATATTATACACTAATAGAACACTGAAATAGCCTGGTAAAAACCAGACTCTTGTCCTTCACTTTGCTTTGTACAGAGGGTCTGGACTCACTGCTATTGAGAAGCGATTTCTTTCAGGAGGCGTGGCCTCTCCTGAAGTATTGTGTTTGTGTGTACCGCTGTGACGGAGGCTAAGCTAAGAAGCTAATCAGAAATCGCGTGCGCTGTAAACAACTCTACTGAGAGGAGGAAAGTACCGAGCCGAAYGAGACGACTGTAAATGAGAGCTGCTGCTTTGTCAGATAAATTTAACTTAATTTGGAAGCCTTATCAACACAGACTGGCTTCATTCACTTCCTCCACTGATTTTGCTAAACTAACTAGCAGACACTGCACAGAAAATTGACATCATTCATGGCCCAGGTAAAAAAAACTACAAGCAGACACTGCGCAGAACATCGATGTTCTGTTCTCTGATTGGTCCGGCTAAAAATCTGCCAGCGAAATCCTTGTTAATGAGAGAAATGCTAGACGGAGCAGTGAAGCGAAACTAGAACTGAGCAGAGCTGCGTAGGAAAGCAAGGGCCAGGCTAACACTGCAAAGGATATGGAAGAAAAATGTAACAATATTATTTTTTTAACTTTAAAAGGGATCAACTATTAAAAATGGAGCTTTTTTGTCTCAAATACAAAAGTGAAAAAAACATTTTAACTGGTCAAGTTTAAAAATGTTCTGTCGAGTATAAACTTGTGCCTCATAAAACACAACAAACTTTCTTTGCAGTTAAGTATWTGGGGTCAAAAGTTCACGAATTCCTTTTGACAATTTTTATTCATTAGCAAGACACACAGATGTGAAGGGATGATGAAGCATCCTGACCTGTGATGGTCAAAGGATTTTTTTTATTGCTAGTGACCAATGTGGATACTTGTTTTTTTATGGTACCTGGCATTCCCAAGTGGTCTCCCATTGAACTACTAACCAGGCCCAACCCTGCTTAACTTTCAAAATCAGGCAGGATGTGATGTGTTCAGAGTGGTATGACCTCCACTGTTGATAAAGAATAGACATTTTGCAGCCTTTGTCCAAACAACATTTTAAAACAAACAAAAACAAGAACTACATCAGTTAAATGGGTCGTCGTGTTTTGCCCTGCACTTAGTAAAAACAAATAAAATTCCATTGTAGATTGTCCAGTAAAAAAAGGTGAYGTAAGAGGTGTCAGTGCAGCAGGTTATGGTAAGTTGGTAACGACTGGTATGATTTTCAGTCTATTCTACACCAAGAAGCAATAATAAAGTGTGTAATGCATTTAAATGCTTCCATTCAAACATTTTGCACTCTGAAAGAAATTTTCATAAATGCATGTGCAGCAGGGCCAACGGCAAAGATCACCGAGTCAACATCYTTTAGGTGCTAATATTAGCTCTGCACCTGGATAACAGTCACAAAATAGAGACACTTTCTTTTGTAAATATGCCCAAAAACTTAACTTGTCTTTTGTGTGCTGGTCAGTGGTCCATCATCAACAACAGTTTTCAGTGAAAAGACAGCAGATTAATGGCCTGAAGCCGTGTGATTTGAAGCAGATGTCTACCCTGCATGACTGAATCTACATAAATTACCCAGAGCAATTATCTCAGTTCTTGTCATGTATATAAAAGAACATGGTCTATTCATGACACTGAGGGGTCTCCGCTAATTGTGGCACACTAAAAGAATAGTCTCACTCACAGGAAGTGTTGATGGAATACCATTAGAGAGCTTTAGGACAGCTTAATATGCTTGGCCTCTTTGACTTATAAAGTTGAGTGATCAGAGACAATAAATGGGGGCAAGCTGAAGGCTAAATTATCTTTTGTACATTCACTTTATTATTCACTCTCCTCTGTTGTGGGATGTAAATTAGCCTCAGATAAGTGTTTCAAATAAAAGTTCCCAAAATTCTCTTCAAAGCATGAATGTGTGTGGACACAATAACAGCRACAAACTACACARAAATTAATTTAGAGCAATCTTTATAAATCTGTGTTGAATGGGATGTAAGGAACTGATTGATGTGTAAAGAAAACATTGGATTTTAAAAGGGCAGTATTATGTGTTACTCAGGCATATAGTTCAATTCTATACCATAATAAAGTAACTATGTCACCTTCAGTTGTTATGAAAATCCTGTTTATATGTATAAATCAAAAATAAATTTGACTTTGCATTTTAGTTGAGCCTAAACACCTTTAAATTGGCCTCTGTCTCTTTAAGAACCTCCTTCTGATTCCGTCACTCCCATTTCTGCACGTCATCCCAACAGCTTCATGGTGTTTACAACCGGTCTTAGAAGTGTTGTTTTTTGTTGTAATAATAATAAAAAACTGCAACATTGTACAATATCAGTTTTGGAAAAAGGTAACTTGGGATACAATTAAATCTTTACTTAAATGATCCCATGTCAGACCAAGTTTTTTTTTGAAGAACCAAAGCAAATACAGAGGCGATGTTTCAGCTTGGTAAGATCTCTCCCAGTCATCCTCACACACACACACATGTCACGATCATAATATAAGTCATGAAAGTGCAAATCCGCTAATGAATTATAAAAATTAGTAAGACCRCTAAARTGCAAACAAAATATTTAGGTCYGCAATTAGTGGATTTGCGCTTTAACGGGCTGGTGCCCACCACTGCTCAAAGGCATTTTTTAATACAAAAAGGACTGGACTGAGAAGTAGATAGTATTACGAGCTCAGCAGACACAYGRTTTYAACAGTTGTTTGCTAGTTGTTGCTGCTGATGGCCTGCAGGAGTCATGGGGGAGGTGTGCTCTGTGAGGAGGAAGCTCAGCTTGGAGAGACAGCCCAGAGGAGGAGCTGCACCTAAAAGGCGGTTCTAGGCCCAACCGGTCGTTTTTGMTRTCCTGAATAGCTTCCACAGGACAGTACTGGATTTCTCAAACATGCATGAATGAGTCAAAGCAACACTCTGGGTAGGTTTTTGATGAAAGGATAACATTATAACATGAYATAAAACTCAAAAAAGTTGATTTTACATGATTTTGCCCCTTGAAAATACAGTGCCTATAAATTCTGATTTATAAATGCATTGTGTTTGGTTCGGTAAAAAGCATGTGTGCATAACTTTACCCCATTTCCCTTAATATTCCTAAATTAGGATAWGATCCAGCCTATTACTTTTAGATGTTATGAAGTTCCCAAGTTTTGTAACAAAWTTGGTTTACTGTTTGATTTATTTTATAAAAGGCACCCAAAACAGCAAAACCAATAAATATTTACTGAGCAGAGAGTTAATCATAAAACATCAAGAAGCTCAAACAAGTCAGGCATGAATTTATTGAGAAGTGCAAATATAAAATCATATTAAAACCTGAAATTGTTTGTTAAAGCGCCAGTAAAACACCAGAAAATGGCACCATTAGCAAGCCTGAGAAGAATACGTTGCACTTCAGGGTTGTTTTACACCTAAAGATTGTGAGCCTGAGAGCTGCAGACAGAACGGTTGTGTACCGTTCTGGAAATGACTTCCTAAAAACGTGCTCCCCAGCTCGTAATTCTGTGGCCTAAATATCACTTTGTACTTCGTTCCATCGTAATGATCAACAGTTTTGTATCCCCTGCAGCCTTCAAGCTTGTGTTTACCACCACGCTCCCAGCTCCTCAGCATTCATTATGTCATGTAAAATTAACAAGTAAAGCCCCAGTCACAGCTGCTGCTAATTCAGCCCACAGAGTACCCCAGTCAGTGGGGGGGAAACCACCGCAATCAAAATATAGTTCATATTTCTCAGATGGGTATGAGAGGATATATAGCAATATTTATATGTATTAATACTAAGTACTATTTCAGGCAAAATACACTGCAGTTAAATACTGACATGTTTGTTACGTTTTCTATTATACATTCTGTTTATTCTCACTTGACCTCCTAAACCAACCATTTCTATTTCACAACATTTTCCCACCTCTACTTGAAAGTATTTTTCTCCGTGACCATTTTCATCTGTCCTCTCTGTCTCTTTAATCCATCYTTTTTCCCCTCTGTTGCAGTGAGTCAAGACATTACAGAGGTSCTCTCCTCTCAGCCTCTATTGATTCACAGCTCTGCTTACTAAAATCAATAAATCAATTCGATCAGAATGGAGACGGGGGGGGGGAGGAGAAATGGAGACAGGAGAGAAACTAGATTCAAACATAAACATTGTAACTAAATAAGAGTTTAATTTTGCATGAAAGAAATGAATGAATTCAGGAAGTGAAACTGTATTGGTGGATTAAGGTATATAAAACTTTTTTATTTTGTTGCAAACTCATCTCCGAGTTGAGGGATTCACATGACACCAGGGAGCAGTAAACTAAAACAGACCGCGGCGTAAAAGAACCTTGATGTGTGTGTGTGTGTAAAGTGCTCTGATCCTTATTGACTAGCCTGAGGAAATGGTTTTTCTTGATTGAGGAGATTGTGCTGTGCCAGAGAGAGAAGACGGGGGCATGATGGAGCAATCAGAGCCAGACTATCTCTCTCAGTTACTGTAATTTCATACAGACCCTCCTGCACACACATCGTTTAGCAAACAGATAACTGTGCCTGGCATCATTAACTTGGCATATTTCTAATTCAGACAGATTAARGATGCTGCCTCTGTCACCGCTGTATAAATCTGTGTTTGCTGGTCGTGTATTTTTGCCGTTGGGATTTATGCGCACGAAACAAAATGTCAACTACATCTGCAAACACCGAAGGCACATCGGAGCTGGATTCAAGGCAAAGATATGGTTGTTGTGTTTGTGTTGACCCTCACCTCCCAAGTGATAGGTTCCTCCTGTGGTGATGCTGAGAGGTGAGGTGGAACGCACAGCGGACACCTCCTCRCCGTCGACTGTCAGCATGGCAAAGTTCTCCTTAGCAAGCAAACGCACAGCGTGCCACTGACCATCATTGAGACCTGAACCTGCAGGAGGGGGTAGTTGAACAAAAAGGAAAAAAAAAGAAGACGTCTTTATAAAACAAATTGCTKTGGGGAATTAGGAAGTTCAATAAAGCATATTAATATCAAGTGACTATTGCGCAAMGCTCATTTCTATTCACGTTTCACCAGCTGTGAAATATGTGATGAGACTCAAACATGAAAATATTCATTTAAGCAAATATGTACATCAGTARGCTATAGATTTAAGTATGACATGGAAAAAGAAGAATATGTTTGACCCAAAAGCCCTTACAAAGATCAGCCMTGACTGAGTGACTCACAATGAGTATATTATATTTTGCGTTGATTCTATTCCAACGAAGAAACTTTAGTTTGTTTGATCAGCACGAGTCCAACAGACTCTTCAGTTATTCGCTGCTTCGATCCATTGATCCTTCTAGATTAGCTCATTAGGAGAGCCAGCTAGGATGTCCCCTTGACCCATTGCAAGTGGTGGGACACAGAAGAACTCAGGCAAAAACAACATAGCTGCTGGACAATGTTCCCCAATCCATGCATGAAACTGTTGCTGAACTGAAGATGAGCTTTAGTGACGAACTGATGTAGGTGCGTTATCGAAGGCCCCTCCTCCCAGCATGCCAACTGTACCCAGTCTGAACAGACCCAATAGGTTTCACTGATTGCACCACTGTGATTGAACATTTTTCAGCTGCTCTTTCTCCCATTACAATATAATGTTGTTTTTGCTGTTTAATTTAATCTAATTTGTTCTTTGCAATGAGCCCATGAAYGTTAAGCACATTCAGTAARTTAGACTGATGTRCATWCTTTTATCAAAAAGAAAAAAATAAGTAGGTCCTCTGGACGGGYTCTTCTTARYGTTTTGTCTCTCCTCCAAGAGACTTCTTCAGTYGGARGAGTTTCAGATGAACTCAGCCTTRYAAGCTCCGCCTCCACTTGGTGGACAAACAGGTTGGTCACATGCAAAAGATGGGCCATCAGCCAAACAATAGGTTGTTAGCGCTGAGTTGGCTCTATTGTTCATAGAGGGCCATCTGTCCCATCACCTGACTCATCAGACTGAAGAAGTCTCTTTGAGGAGAGATGAACCCGTCCAGAGGACCTACGTTTTTTTTTTTCTTTTTGATTTTTTCTACCTGAATTACGGAGATGCATCAGGATGTACATACTTCTAGTTTTTGTGTTTTGGTACTCATGATTTTGTTATTCACACTCCTATTTTGTCTTTATGTTTATGTTTTTTGATGTTCAAACTTACTGGTTTTGTCTTTTGTTTCCTATTCTTACCCTAAATTTAACTGCTAATGATGCAATGCCTGGTCACAAAAAATAAAAAGTTTGTCACCAAAACGAAGAGGTCACACACATTAATATTTCTTTGACTGCCTTTAGCTTTGATTACAGAAAATAACTTGTTGCCAGCTGAAAGATAATCACCCATGCAGTAATTACCTCATACCTATTTGCTGAGTTAAATCCAGGTGGCGACTCTTCTTTTGGCCAGGAAGTGTATATTGGAAATTCCCCACTGAGAGAGAAAAAATTCTATTCTATTCTATTCTATTCTATTCTATTCTATTCTATTCTATTCTATTCTATTCTATTCTATTCTATTCTATTCTATTCTATTCTATTCTGGTGGGATTTTTGTAAAAACTAAGGTGCGTGGGACGGTCTGAAGTCAGCCTGCTACAGTTGCATCTCTGAATTGCCAATAAATGTAGTCACAGAACTGAAATGGTTGATATGTGGAAGCTAAAGCCAGTGTTGAAGCATAACATGATGACAGGTGGTCTGTGTGGGACTTTGAAAGGAGCGATGTGAGACACACTTTATGCACCTTGACAACACTGGTGAGTAATGTGTAAACCTCCTGTGGTTCCTCGATGCTGGTTTCTTGTGTGTAAGCTCACATTGTTGCACAATGTGCCCAACTTGATTGGTCCATTTGTGACCAACAACAGGCTTAAAACAGGAGCTTGATTTGGAACCATATGTCATAACTTTTTTTTGTGTGTGTGAAAAGGCCAACACTCATACATGCACACTAGTGACCATCACTTTTTCTTTCTGTCCATCTTCGTTTCCTCACTCATTTTGCTGTCATTTCCTCCTGGCCGATGGCTCCTTCTCTGGTCTCAAGGCTCCTTCTGTAATCCATTTCTTCTTCTGCACGTCACACACTATGTGTGTATGTGTGTGTGTGTGTGTGCGTGCTTGGTGAATCCCAGTTATGTCTTTTCCTTTCCCTCCCTTCCCTTGTAGCTGTCCATTAAATATGAGTGATGTTTTGGAAAGGGGCATTACTACTGGAGCTGAAAGAGAAGCCAGCTCACTTCCTTCACCTTCTCCTCTATACATCACCCTCTCACTGACACCAAGCTCTATTCATTCTACCATCCTTGCCTGCGTCTTTGTACCTCTGTCTTTATTTTCTTCTCTACATCTCTGCATTTAACACATCCCCCCCCTAAAGTGTCCCCATACTTATCTCCATTTGTGCCCATCTGGTTCAATACATATACTTCTTGGTTGGGTTTAATTCACTGCTTCACTGACCGTTAGACATCAATAGTGAGGACACTGCAGCAAAGTTCAAGGTACGGTCAACTCCAAATCAGTCTCAGCAGAGTGGATCTGTTTGCCAGTCATTATGCATGCCTGTGCCAATACATCCCGACCACATGCGTTACAGCAACCYATTGTTATTTCATTTGGTTTTTTGCTCGTCAGCGTCTCTACAAGTCTTTGGTGCCTACAGTTTTCGTGTATCTTTTTCTACCCAGAATGCATTTGACGACTCTTGCTTTCATATCAGCAGGGAGTTCGCACTAATCAGCGTTGCTCAACAGGGTGGCCGACTGTGTGTGTGTGTGTGTGTGCATGTGTGATCAGATGGTGACCGAAGAAATTAAGAGCCAAAATGGTCACTTGCTGAGAGTGGGAGCCATGTGGAAATGTTCAGGCCGTTACTGATTATATTTATATATATA